CCCCCCTCAGTGACTGGTGTCTCCTGGGTCTGGGCAGACACCCAGGGTCTTCTCACAGCTGATTGCTAAACCCTGGAGGTGCGGTGGGGGCCCCCCCAGCGCGCTCCCTGGCAGAGCTGGAAGTGGACCAGAAGTACTTCCAGTCCACTTCCGGGTTTACCACCAAACATATGGAGGGGCCCCCACACTCCTGTGGGATGCTCTATGTGCTCCAGCATCACAGCAATCATGAGCCGTGCTTGCTACCTCAAGGTACGTAGAAAAAACATTTAAAGATGTGTCTACGTCCGAATTGCTGATTCTTTGAATCAGCATCTAATCTTCAAATTTGGGTTTGGGTGTATTGAATCAGGGACAGTGATCCAAATCAACTAATTGAAACACTGTCCCTGATTCGGGCCAAATGCGAATCAAATAGGGCCCACTTCGCATGCCCCTAATGAAAACCATCAGAAATTAAACAGAAGCACAGTAAGGCATGGCCTTTCCTTATTCTTCTAGCCTGCCTGTTCGCTGAATTACCACATGGAAAGGGAATACAATCTGCTAAGCCAAACACTGTACTTTATACAAATCATATAACATGATGTGGAAAATTTGAGTTTCAAAAATATTATGAGCATAAATTTAGCACAAGAAGGGTTTAGTGGAACTCAGGTTGAATCCCAGCTTCCAATTTGACTGGGTTTCCCAGTGAGGAAGCTCCAATTCCAAACTTCTTGTCTAGGCACAGCTATGTGATTGGTTCAAACAAAAGACCAAACGAATGAGGTTCTGGCTTCACTGTATTTTGTTTGGTGGGAGTGAATCCTAAAACAAGGGTGGTTAAACTCTCTAAATCCTGCAGCTGGCAGAGGATATTACATGTGTCAGGAAAAGGATTCCTAACAAAATGTGTCTACTCACACAAATTTTGGTTTTGTCAACCGTTCTTTAAAGAATCTTATTTGCACAGTCGTATTAGCTATACAAGTTAAGATTGTTCTTGTCTAGTGATGATATTGTGATGTCACTGGGCACAATAAAAACCCACCATGTGTTTCTAGATCACAATACTTCTCAATTCCTCAAAAAGTTATTTGTGGTATTTTCCCTTCCTAGCATTTGAGGGTGTGGACAGTCCTTCCCCATCTGGATGCAGCCAGCAGCTGCCAGTGCCACACTCCTCCTGCAAGGCTGAGGGCTTTCCCCGCTGCCACAGTTCCTAGCAGAGGGTGCCTGGCCCACAGGTGGATGCCTCAGGTGCAATACTGTGTGGCATGTCCATCCGCAACATGCCCCTAGACTGGGAAAGCTGCCAAGGGTCCTTGCTGAGCAGCAGCTGCTGGAGCCCGGGAGGTGGGCAGGAGGGAGGGAGGCACTATCCGGGGCTCCAGGTGCCTGCAGGCTGGAGGTACCACCTGGGCATGGCATGGCTGTCCCAGCAAGTGGGAGCTGCTGTGGGGGGGCTCTGTGCAGTCTACCTCTGCAGCATCTGATGGCAGCCCTGCTACTGTGCTCACTCCTATTTAAACCCTTCCAGCTTGGCCTCTCAATATTCCAACTTCCTCATAAGCCATCTGGAGGTTGGATTTTTAGGAAACTGCACCACCAAACCTGCATTTTACTTATACTACATAGGTGATATTTTAATCATCTATGCTGAACACCTGGACTCTCTTATCGACTTCCACCACAAATTTAAAAATGAATCGCCCCTTAAACAAATTCTCTCTGCAATATTCCTATATTCCTACGTGAACTTCAACTTTCTAGATACCACAACCCACATTCAGGATGGCACCCTACAACCCCTTTATACAAAAATCCCACAGACCACCATGCTTGCATACACAAAAACAACAATCATCCCAAGCACACCAAAAAAGCTGTAATCTACAACCAGGCCCTCACATACTATCACATCTACTCTTACAAGAGTACTCAAGACAGCTACCTTGTCAGTCTGAAATCTACCTTTACACAACAAGGACACTCCAGCAGAGAAACAGACTGTATCTTTGAAAGTACTACCCAAATACCCAAAAGTAACCTGCTATAATACAAAAAAAACCCCAAACCCTGTGACCGCATACTTCTCATGGTCAAATGCAATGCCACATTTGACCTGATGAGAAGAAACATCAGTTACAGCTCAATAACAATTTTTCCAGATCCCTCCTCCCAGCCGCACCCTCAGCTTCTGGCATTCAAACAACTCCTTAATCATGCCCAATTTATCATCAAAAAACTCCCTGCTGTTCAACACACACCAAATGGGATGCAGCCTTGCTTTAACAATAGATGCAAAACCTGTCAGAACAGTTCTCCTGCTACAACAACCAGCAGCACTCCCCACAGTGAACCCAACAGCATCCATGATTTCTACGTATGGACATCCTAAAATGTGGCATCTTATCTAGTGTACCAAATGCCCTCATGGAAACTATGTGGGTGAAAGTAGAGTTAAAATATACACCTAAATGAATGATCACAAGAAAAAAGATTTAGGACAGAGGCACACAAACACTTTTGACTTCCTGGTCTCACTATCCTTATGCTCAAGGGAAATTTACAAAACACTTCCAAAAACTCACAAGCTGGCTGAACACTAAGAATCAAAGGCTGAACAATGAACACTGATATTGACTTCATGGCATATTATATTCTACATGA